TTTGTAGAGTCCAAATACCATTCAAACGTGTGTTTGTTTGCATTCACTCATCCCATCAATAAATACAACACATTTTCAAAGAGAGGTCTTAAAGTGTTTCCATTTGTATTGACACCCAATGGCTTGCAGTCGTACTTGAGTGCAGAGTCTCAACAAAAATATTGCTATTTCTGCCAACTATTTGCCGATGGAGTGAACAAATATATAGGAATTAATGAAGAGTTTGTGGGCATCACGTCTTATGTGGAGGACTACGAGACAAACACTGTAGTCGTATCGACGCTCTCACCCGTCGATAATATACAACACTTTTATACTATCACTTGGGATGTGAACATCCAATACGACCAATTCATGGACATTACGCCTATTATAAGTGTCACACAAAATGAATATCAATTGCAAAACCAAACAAATATTACCGCAATTTTCACATATAATGATAAAGTTATGGTCTCAATTTCGACGGATTTAAAAACACATCCAATAGTTTACGCAATCAATGAGACATTAAGTCATGAACCACTGGTATATACAGTATATTTTGTTAATTAGAATTTTAATTAATTACAAATTAATAGACAATTTTTTTAAATAATAATTATAATATTAGTTAAAATCCAGTGATGACTATTTATGGGACGAAATTTTTTCATGTCCGGCGAATGGCTTAATATATTCAGTGACCAGTAATTATTGGGAAGACGTCTGTCCGATGAAGAGAGAGTACGACATCCGTCAAAGTGTCTTCAATATCGGTCCCGATCTATACCATCAAACGGGCCGTCATTTCTATTACTTTAGTTCGAAAAATAGGGTTTTTGTATTTGATAGACATGTCACTCAACTGTTGGCCATATATTTTGGTAATTATGTTAAAAATTTTAATGAAATTTAAAAATACTTTTAAAAATAATTTAACAAATATTTATACTCGCATTAAATATGTTTAGATACCAGACATCGGGTGACCGGGTATTCAGTTGAGTCGCGGGTAAATCCCGGATATTACAAAGTGATAATACACGGCATGAGTAGTCACGCGTATCGATCGTTAGGCCGCTATATATTCGCAATGTTTGAATATTGACCAAATCGGGAACACAAACAATGACCCCCTTTGTGGACCCGACAGACCCCGTGACACGAGAGCTCATAGACTTCACTTTGGGACCGGCGATGGGCGACACAAATACCTCCCATAATATGTACCCCT